TGAGGCTGTACTTGAGCTAAATGCTCACATCAGCATACATGCATACAATGATAATTCTAGCATGTTGATGTTTAGCAGGTGTAATATTTACCATGTTCACTGTGCTGGTTTAACGTCTTAGCATGCATTTGCTAATTAGTACTAAACATAAAGTACAGCTGTGGATCAGGTATTTGGTCACAAACAAAAGTACTGTATAAGTTGGCACTATAGTCATGAGATCAAGGTCAAAAGAATTCATCCTCTGGGGAACATGAATGTATGTACCAAATTTCACAGCAAACCCTTGTGTAGATGTCAAGATATTTCAATAAAGAGCAAAACAGTCAACCTCATGGTGGTGCCAGAGAAAATGTCAGTGGATCACCAAAGTCAGCAGGACACATTCTGTTGGTAGCATTAATATCTGTGCCAAATTCTGTACCTATCCATATGGTAGATGTTGAGATATTCACAGCACAAGTGAAAATGTATTCAGAAGATCACCAAACCTGTTTGCCCTAGGGACCGTTAATATCTGTTGCAAATTTCATGGCAATCCATCTAATAGTTGTTGGCATATTTCAGCAGGGTTAATCAAAGTCAGTAGGATTCACAGTTCTCCACGTGGTATCTCTGTAGCTGTTGTAGTTCAAACTTTCACCCAGGAGACCTTGGGTTCATGTCCTGTGTGAAACCAAGAGTTAACGTTTACACTTAGTTTTAAGTTACATAACATAACAAATGTAACTTCCATTATGTGACTTGCTGCTACTGTAATGGCAATGTGACATCGCACAATGTACATATTTGAACCAAAATCTTGATCTTTTCCTAAACCTAGCCATGTAGTTTTGTTGCTTAAACCTAACCAAACTACAACCATTTTACAATGTTAATGACATGATAAAAAGGCATCTCATACAGATGCCAAAGGCTACCGCCATAACGCCAAGGGATTTGACAAAGCAGCGGCGGTGTTTGATGACCTGGTATGAGAACATGTTGGATACCATGTATTTACATTATGTAGATTTAAGTGAATTCCACATTTTAGAAATTGATCAACCTAACGACGTTGGACTTACCTTACACCTCCTGACTAAAATCTAAAAACATTCGGCTATTTGCATACACTCTGCCTCACTTCTTTAGGAAGCATTTTTTTTATTCCTGGATGAATAGGGATGGTCATGTTGGTCTGTTGGTTGACCGGTTGCCCACTTTATTCCATTCTTAAACATATCAATCAATGTTGGATAGATGGGCATGACATTTTGTAAAAGGTGTATCCTACTGACTTTGATGATCCCCTGACTTTTCTTTCTTTTAGCGCCACCAAGAGGGTGGCATTTTTAATTATTCACTGTCTCAACAACTATTAGATGGGTTTCCATAAAATTTGGTTCAGACGTTCATGTTCCCCTTGAGATGAAATGCATTGACTTTGGTGATCAAAAGAGTAGAGTAGTAGAATTTGTCTAATAGTTGGATTTATGAGCTAATACCTTCCAAATTAATGTCATTCCCATCAGCCTGCTCCCCATCTCTGCTTGAGGCTACATCAGCTGCTACTAGCATAATACACCTGAATCTCCAACCAAATCATCGGTGGTTGAGTTGCATTGTGGAAAATGTAGGCGCCAAGTTTTGACAAAGAAGAAGAACCCATGGAATAAAAAAGATGGTACCTCTGGGTTCCCTTTCCAAGCTCTTGAAGCTGCTTCTGCCTTATGGACCATATCCCCACATCCAAAAGGGTCCATCCAGTAATGTAGAGGTTTTACTAGGGAGAATGTGTTACTGGGCAGTGACCCAGTGGAGATCTGCGGGTTTATCCTCAGTGACAGGTTTCACACGCAGCTTGTGGGCCAAACCCACAAATAACAGCCAGGCGTCTTGTTTGCCATCATTCTCGGGCCTGTTTCAGATTACTGACTGGCTCTTTGAAGTTGGCTGACGGACAGGCAGGGTTTTCCCCTGCTTCTCTGCCAGAAAAAGATTGGGTCATCAACAGCTCTGCCACCCACCGCATATCTTGAATGACCTCTGAATCAGAAGTGTGCTTACTTAGGCATCTGATCAGAGAGCCGTCGGGAAGCTGTAACAAAAGGTCCGGTGTGAGGTATTTCCTGATTTCACAGCAAAGTCCTTGCTGAAATACAAGCCTCTGTGTGTTGCTTTTAGAAAAACTGCTGTTACCCCTTACCATTGTTTCACCAAAGGACATGACTTAGACGTTGTAACAAGCTATAAATAAGTGGACAGTCATTGACACTGAACTTTAAGCACAGTGGCAGCAACTCTTGTATTTCCTAAGGAAACTAAAGTCATTACACTATCGTCTTTGATAGTCCTGACTGTTTTGTCAAAGATGGTCAATTGATATCATCCAATGTGTAACATTTAGAAGGATCTATTGGCAGAAATGGAATATAATATTCATAGATATGTTTTCATTAGAGTATAATCATCCGGAAATTAAGAACCCTTGTGTTTTAGTTACTTTAGAACAAACTGATCCTTTAATATGAATATTTGTTTGTTAATGGCCCAGTGTGTAGGATTTAGTGGCATCTAGTGGTGAAGTTGCAGATTACAACCATTTGAACCACCTGAATACAGTGCAGCCTTCCAAGTGTGTTGGAGAAACTACAGTTGCTGCGAAACTTGCAAAAAAAGCCCTATCTAGAGCCAGTGTTGGTTTGTCCGTACTGGGCTACTGTAGAAGAATGGCGGTTCAACAACAACCCGCTCCCGCTGTAGATAAAAACAGCTCATTCTAAGGTAACAAAAACACAATAATTCTTATTTACATACCTTTAACTAAAATCAAGTGAACATACTTTATGAGTCAATACATAGTGTTTGGTTTAAAGGTTGAGTTATTTGGCCAACAAAAGTGAAAAGTTAATACTACCAGTTCAGACACCCGGGTTGGCAGTATACATGGCATCTCTAAGCTCCAATGCAAACAAATATTGTTAAGGGTGATCACAGCACTTTACTTTCAGGGGTTGCATTCTCCAAGTTAAACTTTCATTCATATCATACAGAATAGAATCATCTTTATTGTCATATACAATCATACACAGTACAACATATAGTGAAATTTGTCCTCTGCATTTAACCCATCATAAGTACTAGGATCAGTGGGCAGCCACTGTACAGCACCCGGGGACCAACAACAGATCTAATATCAATAATTTAATCTGATCATCTTTATAATTTTGAACGTGGACCAATTGGATTTTGATTAAGTTACATGTGAAAAACAACGTGACCCAGGTTTAGTAGTCTGCACCTATTATTTCAGTGTATCAGTCTGCCTGTATTCTCTAAGGTCCCAATACATCCTATATTTAAATTCTTTATGAAGCAGTGATTAGCAGTTTAGCCTTAATTTCAGTTTGACAATGACCAATAGTAGTTGCCATGTGCGGATATTGTGGAAAGTGAGAATGTAATAGATACTAGACGAGAATGCTAAAAAAACAATAACCTAACATAATCCTGGATTTTTTGGAATCTTCCAAGAGTGACATTCTTGCCTGGTGCATGGTTTGTTTAATACACACTGAGTAGGTAATTTATATAAAAATTTAACTTTCACTATATCCTGACAGTAGTTCATGAGACAGATAATCTGTGAGAGGTTCCTCTGGCTCCTGAACACAAACAACCAATCAGAGCTGAGAAAGACAGAAAGACGTTTTGGGTTGGAAGCTTGAAGTTGATTAGTGAGTCTCATTCCCAGGGACCCAAAGTGTCTGTATGTGACACCCTGAGAATGACACTCAGCAGTCAGCTATCTTCCTTGGCTCTGATTGGTTGTTTCATTTAGGCCCTTGTGGATTCTTGAAAAAAATATCTACTTTAGCAGTTTAGCAGCTACAATAGTGAATGTAATGTAACATGCAAAAGGAATGTATGTGAAATGATGTAATGAGCGAAATGGATTTTTTCCTTGACCAAAAAACAAAAAGAATCTTAACTCATGCTTCACTTTCTAGATTTGTCCCTGAGCTTTCAGTCACATCCTGACACCTTCATCAACAGATGAAGATACATAAAACCAGTAAAGGCCACAAGATACTGAAGCTCATGTGAATAAACCTAGTCAGTGGACATTGAGTTAAGAATACTTTTGGATATTTCTCAAGTTAAAGTGGCCCAGGTCAACAGTGAACTAGGCTTAAACACTGTTTGATTTTGTTTTTTGTAGCTGAAAGTGGTGTTAATGTAAACTCAAATATGAGAATAATGGGAATAATTGATCGGATAGTGGTAATGTGTTCTTAAATGCAACATGAATATGAGAATCACTGTTGTGGCCGATTAACATTTCAAAACATTTATTGTTAACCTTTAATTTTAATAATATTGATTGCTTTGTTGTATTAAAACAATGTAGAGTGAGTCTTTCTTCACACTTTATGGTTTTCATATTGAGCTCCTCATGTTGACATAATGTTGAGCCCGCGCAGTGCTGCACATCACGGGTGGCACATGCGTATCCTGAACCTGCCGCCCTCACTCACAGAAAGTTTTCCCTGGGACGTTCCTTCGCTGTCATGGACCATTGAGCAATAAAAAGCCTGTAACCAAACCCAGAGCCTAATCCAGCCGGGGACAATCGCTGGCAGAGGCTGCCCCTCTATAGAGCTGAATCCCTGCGTGCAGCGCTGTATGGGAGGAGAGACCACATCAGTGGAGCTAATCAAACCACAGGGCCCTGGAATGATGTGGGAGGACAGAAAGCCAGTGTCTGTGTACCAGAAGGCTGGGTTGTCACTTATATTTCATGATGGTGATGATCACGGTGTTTATGGGGGACCCTCAGATGGGTCAACACACATAAGAGTCTGATATAGCTTGATATAAACTGAGGGGAACAAAGTAAGAGATGCTATCTTTTTCCGTAATAAAGTGTTCTATGTGGGTGTTTTAACCCCAAAACAGCTTCATCAGCCAGTAAAGAAACTTGAAGAAGCATTTTCCTGCACTTTAGTGCAATACCAGGAAAACTCCACCCACTGCTGGGTGTCATCCCGCGTCCAAACGTGTCAAGGAGCAAATCAGCTTGGACACAGGCTGGGAAGCATCAGAGCGCACTGGACAGTAGGTTGGATTATTCTAAGACAAGACATCCAGAGAAAAACCAAACTAGTGATAAAGCTGCGGTGTTTATTGCGTTTAGTGACTTTAAAAGTATGCAGATACGTTTACCCTACAGGTATCAACGTGGCGTAAAAGTGTAATCCAACCACAGTCGTGCGTAAAAGTTGATTTTTCCTGTGGAGACCATGCGCAGCTTTTCGGGGCTGTGCGTCCCAGGCGAGGTACCGCAGGCCTTTCCAACGGGAGTCCGGGATGTGGCCGGTCACGGGGCTATCTTGGCCGGACCCTCGCTGTTCTCAGCCATCGCTTTATCCTCCCGAGGATCATCAGATCCCAGTTTGGATGGCAGCGCAGAACCGATGATTCACACGTCGCCAACGGAACAGTCTCTGATTTTGTGCAGGCCTCCCGAGATTCTGGAGGGAGGGGAAGTGCCAGAGGATGAGCCGAAAGTTTATCTGGAAGCCAGCGACCTTTGGAGACAGTTCCACAAATGCGGCACTGAAATGGTCATTACAAAATCTGGGAGGTACAGTAAATGTGTAATAATTAGGCACGGATGGAAAGTGCGACTGTGTTTTAATGAGCGCATGCTTCACGCCGCCATCTCTTCTCCCCGCAGGCGCATGTTTCCACCGCTCAAGGCCAGGTGCACCGGGATGGACAGAAAAGCCAAATACATTCTCCTGATGGACATCGTGACGGCGGATGACTGCAGGTATAAGTTTCATAACTCCCGCTGGATGGTGGCGGGAAAGGCGGACCCGGAGATGCCCAGGCGCATGTACATCCACCCGGATAGCCCGGCCACAGGCGAGCAGTGGATGTCTAAAGTGGTCAACTTCCACAAACTGAAACTGACCAACAACATATCGGATAAGCATGGATTTGTAAGTGTGGATTTTAATTTGAGTAATTGTTTTTACAAACTTCAGGCTTTAATAACCAAGAAATGAATCTGTTTAAGGCGCGCAGTAGGAGTGTGTCTCAAACACTTCAAAATAGTAGGTTTGCTGTTTAGAAAGTAATTATGTTGAATTTAAAATGATTTTAGTATATATTTATTGCTGTAATGGTTTAGTTTAGTTTTCGCTTTAAAACCCCAAAACAAAACAAATACACGTTTTTTATTCCCCCACATATGGTTTTAACTTTAACATTTTTGATTTGCAGACAATTCTCAACTCGATGCACAAATACCAGCCACGATTTCATATAGTGAAGGCAAATGACATCCTGAAGCTGCCTTACAGCACCTTTAGGACATATGTCTTCTCCGAGACAGAGTTCATCGCAGTGACAGCTTACCAAAACGACAAGGTACAACTAACTTGCACTCTCACAACTGCTGGCATTTTTAAAGATTTATGATTGAGTATATTATTATAAATCACCTCTCCATTGGGCCAATTTTCAGATCACTCAGCTGAAAATAGACAATAATCCTTTCGCGAAGGGATTCCGAGACACGGGCAACGGACGACGGGAAAAAAGGCAAGTTATTCCTTAAAGTTATTCATCCAGTTAATTACAAAATAAAGCTTTAATGTTTTGTTGCCGGATTTGCTTTATAGCGGTGGAGGCCTTTTTTTTCTTAATTATAATCCAGCTCCATGTGCTTTTTCTGTGCGGATTGCAGTCATTGAATAAATATTAAGAAGTATTTAATTAAGCAAAAATGTAAATATAACCTACCTTATTACATCATTTCTTACCTCAAACTTCTACTTGGGTAAAAGCAACATCCTGCAAATTGCTAAGTATAAAAAGTAAAAGTATACATTATGCAGAAAGGCCCCTTATATTATTATTATTATTATTATTATTATTATTATTATTATTAGTAGTAGTAGTAGTAGTAGTAGTGTAGTATGTGAGTTAGTCATTATATTATAGATTATTTGTACTAATGCATCAAGGTTGCAGCTGGCTCATTTAAATACTGTTGGGTAGTTTATTGTAAATGTTTCTTGTGTAAAAACTTTACTTTGCAAAGTAAATACTAACTACAGCTATCACATGAATGTAGCAGAGTAAAATAGTACTATATTTCCTTCTGAAACGAAGGGAAGAAGAAGAGTAGAAGTAGAGAGCAGTAAAGAAAACTTCCAAATGATTCTTCTACAGAGCTTGAGTAAATCACACAAATAAAAGTCTGTCTAAATAATTCAGATTTATCATATTTTTTATTTATTCAGTTAAATATTATATTTTTAAGCTACATGTAGCTCTGACTGTTTTTTTAAGCCTTTTCTTCTGTGCAGGAAATATACTGAATCATTTACTGAACTAAAAATAGTCAGACTTAAAAATATTGACTCTCAAAACACTACCACAGTTTCCTAAGACCAGGGTGACGTCCTCAAATAAAGAGCATAGCTATTAACTGATTATCAAAATTTCTGTCAGTTGTTTCAGATATACTCAAATATCTGGAAAACGTTGTTTTATTTTGACGAAACCACAGAATAATACTAAATTACAGAATAATTTGGGGTATTTTCACCCTGAGCATTATGTTGACAGAAGCTGCTGTAATAACAATTCTTATCTGAATTGCCTGCATGCATTGCATATATCCTTTTCTCTCAGTTTTAGCAGTGGTGTAGTGTTCAGTTTTTTTTTTTAAAGCGGGTAGTCCAGCAAAGGATAAAGGTCTTGTGTTATAAACAGGGACATGTAAGACATACTTAGTTCAGCCAGCAGTATTTGTACATTGTCACATAACTTTTGCTGCTTGACTTTAGAGAGTAAGGGTCATGAGGAAATTAATATTAGCCACAGAAGAAGAGCCGGTTTTGCAATCAATACCGGGCCACAGGCAGATGACACATAACTATCCATTTTGAGCAAACTATTCTTTATCTATGCAAGCCCATTTCACCAATATGACAAAAAACAATAATCTTAAAACAATGACTCAGAATCTCATAGATACAAAGTCAAAATATTGAGGTTTCTTATTATAATGATGAATCCTTTTTTTTTATCACATTGGTGGAAATGGGCTTCCATACTTATCCCATAGTCCCTCCAGACATGAAAAATGAAGAACTATTTTCTCCCCTTGGAAGTAGTCTAGGGGCCAGTAATTTGCAAACTATCTCTTGGAACAGCTGATTTGCAGCAGATAGTGTGCGACTATAATAAAATGAACATTATTTGTCAAGTGGCAGTTTGCAAATATTACTACATGAGCCTAATTCATGACTATAAACAACAGGGCAGGTTGGCTGCTCCATGTACCTGCAAATAGCCTGCACTACACTGCTGTGCAACCACAGAGAGCGGTCTCCAAAGCTATGGGGTGCAGCCAACTTAGTGCAAATTCAAACTTCATCACCATAACCATAAACATCAACTTAAACATCACATAGAGAAAATCCCATTGTCCAAGCCTGTAAAAGTCAGCATGATGCTGCTGTTTCCAGCAGGTTTATTTTACAGCCACTCTACTGATGTCAACTCTGAACAGACAAACAATACTCCATTCAACATTTGTTAAGGAGAGGGTGACAAAGCAGCAAAAATGTTCCACTTCCATTTGATTCAGAAGGATTCTGAAATAATTGTGTGTCATTATTGATTGTTTTTTTTTTTTGTTCAACGAAATGACTCAATGTCAATGTCAATTCCTTTCCCTTCTTTTGTCCCATCAGGAAACTACAACATTCATCACAAAAGTCTAAAGAGATGCGGATGACTGAATCTGAACATCCTAAAGATTCATCTGCACAATATTCAGACAATTTCAAATCTTCAGGTACAGTTAATGTGTTTTTCACACATCTGTATAATCCTCATTTTGTCAATATGTAACATTCTGTGAGTCTACAAACATTAATCCAAAAAGGACTTTCTTGTTTATCAATTCTTCCTTCTTAGATGCTCGTGAAAGTGACAGTGACAAAGATGACAATGCTGAGGACAATCCTGGACAAGAGGTGCACAAAACCCACCGAGAATCCGAAACAGAGCCAACGGTTTCCTTAACAGAAAGGACAGCACAGACTCCAGCTGGGACACACAGACAGATTAGACTTAGCCACTTAACTGATGGAGCGGGTCGCTGTGAGCCACAAGACTCAGAGAAGGAACAATTGTGCAAATCATGCAGCGATTTCCCACACAGCTGCGTTTATCCATCGGAATTACACAAACATCTGCTGGATCCAAGTATCCCCAACGGCCTCCGCCCCTCAGCCCAGGTGAACACCTGGAACCGCTGTGCCACTGTGGACAGAACAGTGCTGTGTGGACTGAACATGGCAGCAACTGTCAGGGCTCCAGGGACTCCGGGGTTTCCCATCAACTTTCAGCAGCACCCGCTGGTACAGGTACACACACGACCAACAAAGCTTTGTCGAAACGCATAATTCTTACACTTCATTATTACTGGGAGAGTGACTCATCATAAGTTGTTGTAACCAGTGCTGAAAGAACAATTTGGATCATACTACTCTATAAAAATACCCCAATACAATAACAAATCCTGCATTCAAAATTAACTTAAGTTTAAGCAAAGAAAAAAAATATACTTAAAGTACCAAAAGTTAAAGAAGTCATTATACAAGACAATGGTCCCTGGAAGTGTTTTATTTGGGTTGTTGTTGTATATATTATATATATATATATATTATAATAATGGATTATTATTAAAACTGATGCTTAATAATGTGTTATTCTGTAGCCAGTCGACATGGTGTTAATTTCAACTCACCATTAACTACTTCATAAACAATTTTAAAAGTAAAAGAAGTAAAAAAGTAAAAGTGCAAATAGGTTACATAAAAGATTTGTCTCTGTAATGTAGTGAAGTTGCATTATAAAGTAAAACTACAACACTCCAGTACACTGCAAGTACATACTATCAAAGGCTTAGTTGAAGCTAGTGTGAGGTATCTTCCAAAGTTGCAGTCTGTTTAGTATACTGTGTAGTAGTAACTATTTTAAAAACTCATCACTGTTTTTGATGTATTATTTTATTTTTGCAATGTCACTACAACTGTCAAAATTTAGTGGAGGAAAGTACAATATTTTCCTCTAATGTAGTTAAAGTAGAAAGTAGCATAAAGTAAAACACCTTAAATATTTTAAAGCTTTATATATATTATATATAAAATACATATATTTATTTTTTTATTTATTTGCTGAAACTTTCACTATATACTGTAGTCCATGAGACATAATCTGTGAAAAAATCTGGTTCCTCTGGCTCCCAGTGCTCCTAATGGCGTTTGCAAGAATCCACCGTATTGTACTCAACTTAATGCCAATGGTTATTATAATACGAATCCCAGCTGCAAGGTAATTTAAATATGAATTACCTGAAAATCTGGATTTTACTCTGTGAAATGTTTTTGGTTTTTTTTCTAACTAAACTGTAAAAACAAAAATCTGGGTAATTGTATGATATTCTGCTGTTTTTGTTTTTGTTTGTTCGAAAACATCAAGTCATCAGAAGAAGAAGAATCAGTGTTATTTTACAGTTGATACCGTTGCTGGAAATGACAATCAACTAACTATCTTCAAGCTTCCAACCCAAAGCATCTTTCTATCTTTCTTGGCTCTGATTGGTTGTTTCCATGATTCTTACAAATACCATTAGGAGCACTAGGAAGAGCCAGAGGAACCTGATTGTTTAACAGATTATCTGTCTCATGTACTACTGTCAGGATATGGAGAAAGTTAAAGAAAATATGACAAAAAGTAATTTTTATAAAAATGACCTACTGCAGCCTTTTTTCCCCCTGTTAACAGGACCTGGTGAGCCTTTCACACTTTGGAGGATTTCTGTTTTATCCCTACTCCACCTTCTCTGCAGCATCAGCCCAGTACCTCGTCCCACCGGGGCACTCTCGAGTGGGTTTCAGAACCTATGCAAGCACCCACAGCCGGGACTACTTCACCTCTCCGATGATATCTTCATCTGTTCCTCCTGTGGGTGGTGATGATGGGTTGAAATATCTGACCCCTCATTTGCTAATGGCACCCAAAACAGACCAGAAGAACTCAGTGGATGAAGCTGACATTGACTGCAGTCAAGACGAGTCACAAACAGGGTGAAATTACTGACTTGAAAGCAGTTGCTGCTGCTCTTAAGTGTCCCTGCATGTGGTCTGCCCATTTCCCACCTACAGTTCAGAGTCTAAAGGCTGTTTTCTCATGGGAATGACACTAAACGTATGTACTGGTAAAGTCTCATAGATCTGCATCTTATTGACAACATTGCTAACTGAATCACTGTGGTGCAAAGAGCATTTTATTCCGACAAATGTAACTTGTACAATGTAAATGAACAACATATTAAAGGTCCAGTGTGTAACATTTAGGAGGATCTATTGTCAGAAACAGAATATAATATAGAATATGTTGTCTTAGAATGAGCTGTTCATATCTACAAAGGGAGTAGGTCCTCTTTTACAGAGGCCTCCATGTTGAACCACCATGTTTCTACATGGTGGTTCCAAACACTGGCTCTAGATAGGGCCTTTGGCATTCATGAGTTTTGTGGCCACTGTAGTTTCTTCTACACACCTGGAAGGCTGAGCTGTATCCAACTTCATCGCTAGATGCCACTAAATACTACACACTGGACCTTTAAGTTGTGATTTTATTGAAATTAGGTGCTGCTTGGTGGATTATAGAGATGTTGAGTTAACGGCACATTTGAACCCAGAAACATTTAACTGACACATTTCTGAGTTAAGTTTGGCGTATTAAATAACAATAGAGCTAAGTAAATTACTCATTAAAAACAAAAACGTTGAACCATATGAAGATTGTTCCATGCTTTTTTAACAGTGAAACTGTTAAAAGTTATTAGACAACTTTTGTAAGGTATATTTATTTGATCAAATTAGATTGAAAGTGACCAACAACCCATTATTTGCAACAGAGCCCCGCCCACTTCAAATCAGTGAGAGGAGCACAGACAAAAACAGAAATACAGAAATCTCTTGTGTGAAAGAACCGAAACTATTCTAACTTTGGCAGATTATTTTGTGTTCATGTAGGACCCTACAGTGTATCGAAAAAAAGCTGATTTTAGATACATTTTCAGGGCCTCTAACATCCTTCTTTCTCTTACATACATACATACATACGATACATACAGTATATATGTCTATGTAGTTGTGTCTTCATTTTCACTTGCTAAATAAAAT